CATATTGCCTTTCGAACCACGTCGTTATGATTCACGATCATGATTTAATCCCATGTGTAGTCACGCCGATTGTCACGAGTAATCCTCCGCAAATCGCTTCGACACACTATGAAAACTAAAGGTTTGAGAAGCAAATGTCGGACCCACTATAGGGTGAGCGCAAAAAGTTCTGGCAATTTTTCGAAATACTTTGGAATTATAGAAAAACCATTTAATTAACTTAATCAGCGGAACTAACCTTTCGGAAGCTTCACTGTGAATCAGTAGCAATAACGGTGTACAGAGAAATCACAACATGTATTCAAAATGCATCCTTTGACCTCAATACATTTGCTCAGTCGCTTTTCGAAGTGTCCAACAATGGTCGCGCATTCTTCTACTGTAATTTCGTCACAAGCACGCAGTAATGCTGCTTTCAAATGATCCACCGTCACGCATTGGATTCCTGAGATTTTCTGCTCCAAGATAGACTAAACGGAGTAATCCATCGGGTTCAGATCAGGCGAGTTGGAAGGATAAATGTCCTCGCCCCAAAATCCCGGAAGCAGCTCTTCCGGCAGTGATTTGGGCCAGGCTGTAAAGTGGAGCTCAGTTTCGCTGAAGCACTAATCCATCTGAACCAAAGTGCTGCGACGTCCATGGCTTCAGTACATCGCGAAGAACGCACTGTTGATAGTTAGCAGCATTGATTTTAAGGTTACGGTCAATGAAGACGAGTAGCAGTTTGTCGCGTTGACACTCGATCCCGCCTCCGACCATGACTGGAGGCTTGGAAAAGTGCCTATGGCCCGACGGGTTTCGCTGCCGTTGTCTTCTGCTGACCCTTCTTGAGTAGTACAGACAATTCTGGTGGTTGTGTACAGGCTCGATCGTGGGAATTTTTCGTCGGTGAAGAGCACATTTTTCAAGCGACCAGCACCGACCAGACGACGCATCCTGCGAGCTTCGATCTGGGAAGCAAAGGGAAGCATTTCCTGACATCATGCTGTGATTTCTCTGTACACCGTCATCGCTACTGGTCTAATGAAGATTCCCGAAAGTTTAGGTTCGCTGGTTAAGTTAATTAAATGGCACTTTTACGATACCAAAGTATTTCGAAAAATTGCCAGAACTTTTTGGTCACCCTGTATAGGCGCAGCGACTGGTGGCTATTTGTGCAAGGTCTTACGCAATGCAAAACGATACGCAATCATTGGCAACGGCAATAGATAGCATAGAATAGTTTGTGTGGAGTGATGCAGTGCCAGTCCATGAATCAGTTAGAGAAAACGCAGAAATAGGTCGGATTATGGTTGCGCGAATTGGAGATAATTCCAAGATGGAGCCTCTTCGGCTGCGAACAAGCTGATACCGCCGGATCCGACTCAGAAAAGGCCGAAAATCGCAGTGGTAGTGCAACATGGGCTGGTCGCTCACTGAATAGTATTCGACATACGTGCGGAAAAGTAACGCACAGGAAGTGGAATGGATGGGCTTAAGCAGTCGTTTTGAGTCGGATGGTCGAAGTTTGCCTGGTGATGTCCACATTCAAGGTAGTCAAGGGTACTATTGGAAAACGATCTGCACAGCTCCAAATAGCTGAATGCGGCTACGGCTGTGAAACGATGAGAGCCGGATGGCCGCGGAACCTCGGAGCTCGGCATGCTGTGCGAGGCGCCTGCGGATTTCCTTATATCTGCTCCTGGTCGCTGTTTCTCTTTGCCTGCCTCATTCTGCTATAGCGCGCCGTCTCCGGTCTTAGACTGCCTGTAATCTGGGAGGCACTTGAAAGTTTCTTCATCTATACTCCGCCATTTATAAAGAAGGCAATGTTCAAGGTCGGGTGTCAGAAGTTTCCATGTGCTCCTTAGCTACGGGCCAGAAATAAGCTTCATGTCAACGCCTTGGTGGGATGCCTTTTCTGCCCTCTACCAATCTAGGTGTAGACAAGTGGATTGTTAATTGTCATTGTCAATTAGCAGAAAATGACTGTTTCTAGGGTTTTGCTGAAAAAAGCTTGATGTAGGTGCAGCTGCTAAACGTTATAACACCCCTCGCTATAAGGTCTTATAACACAAATTCCACTGTTTTGTTCCTTATTTTTTTGTAAACGGGAAGGGGAATGACAGGCAAAACACATGGGATATCTCAAGTCGAAAAGAGGTTAGGGAAACCGAGAGAGTGTGAGAGTAAAAGGACCCTGAAAGCGGAGGATAGCATTCGAACACTTACGATTAGATGCGAATTTAACGAAGAACTGGTTTCTACAGTCTCCTCCTCACGGGAAGTGGAGCGGTCCGTAAGCGCGTACGCCAATCTCTCAGCTGAGAGGTGAGCGGCAGTGAAACTCATTCCTCTGACAGCAACCACCCATCGAGGGCGTTCTGCCTCCGGACGAATAGCCGCAAAGAGCCCAGGCGAAGTCAGTCTTAGTCATCGAAAGAGGAAGGAATCAGGATTGCGGTTTCCTGGCTCTGTTCTTCCGCGTCTTCGGCACGTCTTCGTCAGAAAACTGCGAAAATGGCGGTTTGCTCGATGAATTAACGACCACTTTCCCTTCTTTTCCTGGCGTCCTACTAACTAATACCTACCCTTTCATTTCTGAGAGCCAAAATTAGCACTTAGACTTTCATATAGTGTATATTTCGGTGGGGAGTCCGTGCTTTTCGGCCAATGTTTTCTCGCTATTTTCTCCATATTCCTCCCCTGTATGGGAACAGAGGACTCTTGTAAATCTACGAGTAGATAGGAATATCTCGCAAATATTGAAAAACTTAATGACATTGGAGAAAAACCTGAAAACAGTTGGATATGACAGCGAAATTGGCTAAATGAAAACTAATAGAGGTTGTCAACTGCACATTGAGGAATGAGCGATGAGGACGAATTAACTGATGTGGCTTGTTTTCCCATACCGAAAACGTATTATGTAAATTCATCGGTTGACTTGTTCCAGTTGAAATACCCTCAGGGCAATAATCATGCTTGTGGGAAATATGAGGCGGGGGTTGCAGAGGAAGGAAGAAGAAGGGGGGAATTACGTGGAATAGGGTATATCTAAGAGTTGATAAGGAATTATGGAGGTGTCAGCGAATATGAAGTACTAGGTCTGCTATCGGCCGTTTCTATGCGAGGTTATTCGCGATCTACAGTTGGTATTTCTAATCGATTAATATTAGGGAGTGAGTTGGTGTACAAAGGAGGACATACAAGCCAGAAGCAGGGGGCAGCCAATCATTGGGAGAATGCGCCGTTCAGTGGTTGTACTCGACTGCTAGAGAGGGCACTCCTATTCGGAATGGGAGGTGGGTGATTTTTCCCCTCAAAGACAGTTGGCACGATAGCATGATGCTCTGTCTAAAATGGTTGCAGGGTGCTTAATCGTGGGAAATTCGCGAAAAAGCGAAATGAAATGGTCAAAATCTGTGAAAAAAAATACCCTTGTTCTGCACGACATTTCTGGGAAGGCGGGCGCGCGGCGGGCGACCGGGTGGTCCTACAAGGGCACCTTTCCTATAAGGGGCACGGGCGTTACCAGAAGAAGTGAGCAAGCGGCGCTTGGCATGGGCACAGACAGCGGCTGCGTAGAGTATAAAAGTCCTAAAGCGACGCTCTCACAGATTTGTCGGGCAACTGCCTTCAACGTGCATCACTGCTGGCGACACAAAACCACCATACGACTGCTATTTCCGAGTGACGAAATCAGTGCTGACCGTTGACGAATCTCTTTACTGGCCGGCGGCGGGCCATTCCCCTCCCACGAGAGAGAGGGATGTGGGGGGTGGAGAAAGGAAAAAGAATTTTTTGGCAAACCGCGTGAAAAGTGGTTGGGCGAGACGGGGAAAATAGTAGGTCGTGGGGCAGGTACATAAGGTGTGGAGGGGGGAGGGGAAGATTGCGAAAGGCTATTCCAGAGAACACGCGTAACTGGAGTCGCACCTCGTGAGAGCGATGGTATTGCAGCGGCTTCCAGAGGAGCTTGCGTCCTAGCGAGGTAAAGAACTGTGTTAAACGGCTAGTTCTCCTGATTGCCATGCCCTGCCTGAATGAGGAATAGCTCGGAAATTGAAAAGCACTCTTAGGCATCCTGAAGAGTTCCATCACTGATGAGAGTTGACAGGATGCAGATTAGCTCTCGACGTACAAGAGGTGTTTTCCATTTCTGAATCGGAAATTCACAGGCAGACGATGTTTCAGATTAACGCAACGGAAATTAGGATTACTGTAAGGTGCCTAAGCGAAATCTTAGTGAGAGCCTCTCCTCGGAACAAGGTCTTTTTATGAGCTAGATGGTTCGTGGATGGTGTAAGTGGGTTCCCAGCAACAAATATTCCGATTCTTCTCTACTGGGCATCGTAGGGCTGACTTTGGCCCAGGGAACTCAATGGGTCCATGACGACAGCCTAGATAGTGTTTGTCCTATGGTGTATGTCCTATGTACGGCCTTACCTTCAGTGTTGGAAGCTTCTCCCGGACTATGGGAAGTGATGACAAATCATGGTGAGCGCTACATGATAGGAAAAGAGCCGTTTCTGTTACTATTGGGGCACACTGTCAAGTTCTGGACACGTTTTGCAGGATGACCCCTCCATACAAACACCCTCCATCGAGACGCCCTCCTTTCACATACTACCTAGCATTTCTCAACCCTTATCAAGACCGTGGCATTAGGCGTGGAAAAGGGATGGGGTCAACACCTCCGGTCAACTACCAGAAACAGCAGTTTCGGTAAATCAGGTAACAATCAGCTCTAATCAGCGGCCAAATGCGGCCCCACTTTGTTTTACACGAGTCCTGATGAGCCCTGGCTATGATACCGGCCGAGAACTTATCAGAGAGTAATTCTGGCTGGCTCGGCGAGGATGAGAATTTTGCACTTTCGCTAGTTCCCATTTTCGGGCCATCAAGCAGTGATTTGTGAAATTCTGTGAAGTTACGCGGCCATACCAGTCAACGCTCGTAAAAAGTACTCGTCAACCCTTATAAAATCCACGACAATAGCAAGTAGAGGAAGTGCAAACCTAACCGAGCTGTACCCACACCCGAAGCCACTTTGCCACACCCAAAGCCACTTTCTCTTCGCCGTATCTTCGTACAAGAACCTGAGAAAGAACAGAGAGAAAACCCTCCAAGTAACCAAGGGGCCCTAGGAAGTCCACGGTTTCCGCTTTCTTCTTTGCTGATGAGTCACCTAGCAAAGACAATTTGTTTTTGCATCTCGCTACTTCAAATGCACGGCAGCGGCATCGATAACTAAATTGCCTCGAAAATGAAGAGGTAACATTCTGCTAAAATCAGAGGGAAAAGTTTGGCTTGGAAGGGGCATTCTGGCGACTTCGCTTGGCTACCATTCTTCTTATTTGACGATAAATAATACCGTGTACTGCTTTGGCAATGACCCAACTCGATACTCTGCAAAAATCACGCTAAGCCGATTCCACTTCAGTCATAGGATACTGCAGGTCTTGCATAAGGGCGAGCTTCCTGTCCCAAACGTTACTGGTAAGTATCGCCTCCACCATGCCGGTATGATGACCTTTGCGCAGCTTTTTCCTCAGGATCTCTTGCGTCTCCCTAACTTTCGCGGAATTTTACTCAAAAGCCGTTCGTTTTTATATTCAGAACACTAACGGGTGACGATGCTCCTTCAAGACCCTAGCGGAAAGGGCAATGAGGTTGTAGCAATCAATCTCACAAGGACAATTCAATAACTAAATCTAATTATTTTCTTTCAAACGTCGTAAATGCCACTAGTCAGACAATTTTTCTTTTGTAAAAGTTCTAAGGCACTCGAGAAAGAATAAGTCCGAAAATCACTCCTCTGCTATGAGGCTTCCCGTTATCCATAATCAATCCTATCAACAACCTTCATGAAGCTTCCCAATTTTCCGAACTTTCTATCATTTTCTCGGAACTTCTTTCCCAAAATTCTTCATTTTTTCCCAAAACAAATTACCGTCGAGCGAGGTGGGGAAAGGGGAATCCATAGGGCACTTGAAACTAACAGGAACAGCTAAGTCAATCAGCAACCAAAGCATTCTTCTCAAGGATCATCACGACCACTCTCTAAAGCCCAAATGCGATTTTCCTCCCCTATCCCTCGCTGGGGATCCCTAACATACATACACATAAATCACGAGTCACATAAATCAGGGTCAGTTTTGTTTAATTCTTTCAAAGCAGTTCCTCTTGGGGCAGCGGGAGGGGGAGGAGGGGGTGCTGGCTTTTTGCTTGTTCCCATTGTCCTGCCGAGCCATAAAATCTAGCGAAGCCATAAATAATACCGGTCAAGGATTGTAGGGAATACTTGTCACCTCTTATACATAGAGCAATGAACTCGACTGTGAGAAACAGCAAAAATGCAAAATCTCCCCCCCCCCTCCAAACAAAATTGCGCAATTCCTTCCTTTGAACTGCCTTTTATTTCCGACTAAAATGAACTGGAGAAGTTACCAATTGTTCTACTTTATTGAAAGAACGATGTCAAAGAGAGCAGGAAATAAGTGCAAGAAAATGGAGCCGATTTTTTGTTTCTCGAAAAAATCAATTTCGAAGCGAAAGAACGAGACGATCATTCATAGCGCTAAGAGATTTCAGAGATGGCAGGCAGTGACTTGCTTGAGCGAAACAGAAGTAGCGGCCCGAAAAAAAGCAAGCGGGATCCTATCGAACTTAGGCGGCCGTTTATATTATCGAAAATCCCCCGCCGTCCGAAGCAGCAATGCTTCCGGAGAGCAGTGATTGCTCTTTTTCACACGCCCTCTTTCTCGTTCGGTCTAGGGCACGGCACACTCTTACAATTTAGCCTATTACTTCGATAATAGTATTACTATTATATCACAACATTGCTGATTTATGGGCCAGACAAGTTGCCTTAGTAAGTTCTTCAAGGCAAATTACTTGTCCATTGCACCTCCGAGGACAACTGCCGAAAAAGTACGGGACCGCCGTTCGAGTCCCGGCCAGGCACGTCCTGCCGTTCGGCTAGAAGACGACTCGTCAGAATTCGCTTCTCTAGTAGGTCCTTTTTCCTTCCCCATGACCCATCCCACCCGCTGCCCTCCCAAATGTTCCTCCGAT